GCAGGCAAACGGATGGAACTTGAAAAACAAATCATCCTGAGTGAGGTAACCCAGACCCAGAAATACAAACATGGTATATGCTCACTTATGAGTGAGTATTGGCTGTAAAGTAACAGCCCATTTCATGAAGGATAAAAATCACAAATAAATAGCTAAACTAAGAAAAATTAAAGACTCAAGTAAAGAGAAAGAAGAAATGAAGAATGTAAGAAAGCAAAGACGTGGAGGAGAAACAGTCACAAGGTATAATGTCATCTCTTACCGTGTATGTGTGTGTGTGTGTGTGTTAGTGTTTTGTCTACGTGTACATCTGTACAGCACAAGCATGCACTTCCCACAGAGGCCAGAAGAGGGCACCATATCCCTTGGTACTGGAGTCACAAAAGAAGTGATGCGTGATCCTGTAGATGCTGGGAATTGAGCCTGAGTGCTCTAGAAGAGCTGCCAGTACTCTTAACGGCTAAGCCCTCTCACTAGCTTTCCTTTTATTGGTAGTGTGCAATTTCTCTGGTGCCCCACAGAACACTGGACTGAAATCAACTGATGGACACTGCGAGGTCCACTGAGTGGCTTCTAAGCACATATACTGAAACAAAACATGTATTTCTTTCAAGTGGTTGAACCTGGAGACACCACCAAAAAGCCATTCTAAACAATGGCTCTGCACAGGTGTGGTCCAATGGCCTTGCTCATCCCCTCCTGTCCCATTTGTACTCCCCACCCCACCACCATCTGACACCAAAAGCCCTAGCAACGGTGAATAAATACTCTGAACTTAGGTACTCCCCTTACCTACATTGATCATAGGCCTTGTATGAGAAACACACACTCCAATATTCTGGGACAGACAGGACATATAAGTTGAGTCCCATTTTCAACTATGCAAAGATTCATCAGGAGCAATAAGCCATGACCATCCAAAGGTGGAACTCTTATTGACCCCCCCCCCCACAAAAAAAAAAGTGCAACACAAACATCTGAAATTAAAAACTAAAAATACCCAGCATCTATTTGCCAAGAATTAAAGAAAATATTGCTGCTTGCAACTAATTCTGCAAAGAGCATACCCTATAAGAAGTATCATTTACACAAGTCTCTACTGGTCAAGGCAGCACATAAGGTAGGCAGTGCACTGGGCTGACAGCCCCAGAATTTGCAGTTTTGTCCTTTATTTTGAGCTCTGGACCAGACAACCCCTGGCTAGCTGCCAGACACCCAGACTGTCACTTCTGAATGTTCTAGTCCACTGAAAACTCACTAGGTTCTTGATGCTTCCAATTAGAGTTGAAGAAAATGCCAAGAACTAACTTGTTATCTTTGGCAGGTCTTTATTGCAATTACAGTGAGTGTTCCATGTGAGGGTGTCTGGAAACAATGGGGAGTAATGTTTACTAACAAATCCTAACACCTCAGTTCAGAACAGAGTTGCATTTAAATGTGTGATTAAAAGGCTTTGATCCACTAAATACACTAGACAGTTTGCAAATCACAGGTTAGTCGTACCCTGAATAGATTCGATAGGTAGAAGAAGGCCACACAGATGCAGCGGAAAGAAAGTGTGGAAATGCATTTAAGAGAGACTAACACAGAGAAGGAAATCCTGCAGGTTATCTGTGTGTTCATTTCTATACTGACTCATTATCCAAAGCACTGGAGGCAGCGATTGTTCTCATCAGTCAACGCCTGCCCCATCCGGTCCATTCTGAAAAGACCCAGGGAAGTACTACCTCCTAAGAACTTAATTTGAGAGATGAGGATTTGGCTCCATGAATAAAGAATTCCTAACACACACACATGAGGACCTTAGTTCAGATGCCCTAACCCCACATAAAAGCCAGGCATACCTGTACACACTTGTAACCTATCCCTGAGGGGACAGAGACAGGTGGATTCCAGGGGCTCGCAGGGCAGCTGGTGCCAATGAAATGGTGAACCCCAGGTTCAGTAAGAGTCTCTGTCTCAATGATGATGATGATAATGTAGAGAAATGAGTGAAAAAGACTCTGAAGTCAGCCTCTGACCTCTACACTCTTCTGCACAGCTGGTTACACACACACACCAAGACTTAATTTTGAATGTCAATTTAAAAGACAAAAAAAAAAAATTAGGGATGTTGATCATTGGTGGTCCCTGGGCCCCTGGGTCCCTGGGTCCCTGGGTTGGAGCCCCAGCATTGCAAATAAGTAAAGCAAACAAGGAAAGAACAAAATAAGGGAGGGAGAGAAGGAGGAAAGGAAGGGGAGGGAGGGATGAAGGGGGAGGAAGGGATATCAGAATTATAAACCATATCAAGAGAAAAACTAAACTAACACAAATTAAAAAGAACACCTCTGCCATCCCATACTTCCTCAGTTAAGACCCGAAGGCTCAGATATCCCAAAACACATCATAAATGAAGCTATTAAAAATCTCCTTCACAGATGACAGCTACGGAAACCGCCATAAAAACAGAGGAGAAATTTGACGCCTTTGAATGCTGTTTCACACTGTTCGTTCAGGTAAAGCTCTCTGCCCCAGGCCCTTCAGCTTCTCAGTTCCATCAGATTTCATGCATTTCACTTTGTTCCTTTCTTAATAAAATCTCCTCAGCCCAGTTTATCAGAGTGGAAAGATTCCACTTATTAATCTACAAAGGAAGAAAAACTTACTCACTTGCCAGCCCTTGCATTTAATTCCCAAAACCTGTGTAGCAAAGGTAGGCACAGGGAGGTAGAGACAGGCAGATCCCTGAGGCTTTTTAGCCAGTCAGTCTAGCCCATGCACGCGCACACACACACACACACACACACACACACACACACACACACACACACACACACACAAATAATGAAGGTAATTATCACCTAATCTAATAATGAACATACAATAAAAATCAGCTTAAGGAAACGTTAATGAAGGGAGAGGTTGGATAATGATTAAAGCATACCCAAGATTTAAAACACTGCCAAGATAAGGGAAAACATTTCAAATATGAAAACTCAGTCAGGAAGACTCATAAGCATTTACACCTTTACAAATGACACCTTGTTAAAACTGTGATGACATACACACATCAGGCTTCCCATCATAATCACTTGTCATACACAGTTGACAGTGTTGAGCACACTCAGGGTGTCTATGTAACTAACCTACTGAATCCCTGCCCACTGCAAGGCTCACTCTCTACCAATTCAACAGCCCCCCCCCCCCCGCTACTGGCACCACCACTCCACTGTCTATGAATTTGACTCCTCTAGGAACTTAATACAGGTGGAGTCAAATATTGGTGGTCTTTTATATTTTTCAATTTACACACGTTTATTTTGTGTGTGTGTGTGTGTGTGTGTGTGTGTGTGTGTGTGTGTGTGTGTGCCCTGCAGTGAAGTCTGTAGGTCAGGTGACAGCTTTGCAGCAATCAATTCTTTCCTTCCACTTGGGTCCAAGTACCAAATTTGAATGGTCAGACTTGGCAGCAAGCATCTTTATCTGCTGAGCCATCTCACCAGCCCCATTGCTAGCCTTTGTCTGTTTTTTGGGGTTTTTTTTGTTTTGTTTTGTTTTGTTTTTGTTTTTTTGTTTTTTTGTTATTTGGGGGGGTTTCTAGGCAGGCTTTCTCCGCTTAGCCCTGACTGTCCTGGAACTCAATCTGAACATCAAGCTGACCTCAAACTCAACAGAGATCCACCTGCCTCTGCCTCCCAGGTGCTAGGCTTAAAGCCTTGTGCCACCGCCTCTCAGAGTTGCTAGTCTTTTAAAGTGACACTTTTAAACCAGAGGAACTAGTAGCCAAGACAAAAGGAAATATCTATACCACAAAATGATAGAACAACACAAACCAGAAAGTGAACGGGAAAGATCCCAGAACTGAAGATCCTAAGATATGATGATCCTAACCATATTATGAGTTATCAGAAATTAAGGTCCTCTTTTCTAAATATCCCTTAGAGGAAAAACCTAAGCAAAGACTGGACACATTGGAACAGTGTGTAAGTGGCTTCTTTGTATATTAACAGTTGCCTCAGATTCCTCTTTTCCAGTGCCCTCTAAAACAGAGACAGGAGCAGGAAACATCACTTCCTCTCCATTTCTGAAGAGTTGGTATCTTGCCATCACTGTAAGATCAGAGCAGAGGGCTAGCGGTATCTCTCCGTTGGTATCTTGCTTGCCTAGGGACCACAAAGCCCTGTGTTCAGTCCCCAGACCAGTATAAAACTAAGTGTGGTGACACATGCCTATATTTGCAGACCTCCAGAGGTAGAGGCAGGTGGATCAGAAACTCAAGCACTTCCTCGGTCAGCCTAGACCATACAAGACCTTATCTCAAAGCAGGAAATCGGGCAAGGAGGACCAGAGTTCAACCAGAAAGGCATGGATGAGGTGTTTGTAGCCTCACCCTGGTTCCATGCTAGAACAATCTGAAACCTTGTTGGGTCAATATCCACCTGAATGAACATGTCCCTGGGAGCCAACAAACCTCTGGGGGAAATGTGTGATTAGCTTTTCTTATCAACTGTATAAAAAAAAAAAAAAGTTAATAAAATAAAAAGTGTCAGTTCATCTTCAATTATCAAGAAATAACCAAATCAAAAAGGAGAGAGCCTCATTAAATACAAAATAGATTTTGATGCTAACACTAATTTTGACTTTGATAAAAATACAAAAGCAAAAAGCCACATGTTGAGAAATGCTCCCTCTCATCTCTCCGAGGGTTTTAATTACATTTGTTAGTCTGGGATACACTCTGACATTGGGAAACCAGGAAGAAAATTGAATGGAATTATATTTTCTGAAGGAATTACCAGTCATCAAAACCTCTCAAAGCTTAGGACAGTAATTCTGAGAAAAAAAAAAAGAAGAAGAAAATTGGCTCCACCTTATTTTTTCTGTCTGACCCAGCCTCATAAAAAGAGCCAGTAGAGTAGGTTCATGGAAAAGAAATTATCCAATTAGGGATTAAGAAAACTGTAACAGGGATTAGGAAATGACAGAGAAAAGGAACACCCTGCTGGTGTGGATATAAGGGCCAAAAGGCAGACTAGAACAGGCCATTCACTCCACCTTTCCCAGTCTCTGGAGACAACTCAGCACTGGCAGGAGCACCATGTTTTGCTCAGCTCAGAGAGGGTCCTGCTCCTCCTACTCCTCAGGGGCCAAGGGCAGCCGTGTGTGCGCTGCTGGAAGCGCCTTCAGCAGCGGAACCGGCTGTGGCCTGGGGGGAGGGTCTTCCTGGGGCTTCCAGGGAAGCAGCAGCAGCCGTGGCCTGATGGGGGCGTCTAAGGGTGGCTTTGGAAGTGGCATTGGAGGGGGCTTTGGTGGCTGCTCAGTAAAGGGTGGATTGGGAGCAGCCTCTGGCTTTGGTGGGGGCTCTGGCTTTGGTGGGGGCTCTAGTGGAGGCTTCTCTTGCTATGGAGGTAGTATGGGAGGTGGCCTTGGTGGTGTCAGTGGCAGCGAAGGGGGCCTTCTCTCTGGAAGTGAAAAGCAAACCATGCAGAACCTCAATGACCGTCTGGCCAGCTACCTAGACAAGGTGCACGCCCTGGAGGAAGCCAACACGGACCTGGAGACTAAAATCAAGGAGTGGTATGGCAAGCATGGGTCTGGAAAAGGTGACTCTGGAAGGGACTACAGCAAATACTGGCCAATATTAGAAGACCTGAAGAACCAGGTGGGACTCTAGCTGTGCTCCTACAGCACACCTTTCACTTTGACTCAGATCATATATACTAGTATGAATTTCTTTTTACGTGTGTGTGTGTGTGTGTGTGTGTGTGCAGAAGGGGCATGTATGCCTTTGCACAAGTGTGGAAGTCAGAAGACAACTTATAAGAGTTGTCCTAGGGATCAAATTCAGCTCATCAGACATGGCAGCAAGTGCCCTCACCTGCTGAGCCGTGGTAGGGGGGGGAGGATAATGAAATGCTAAGTCAATGAATTATTCACGTGTGCAAAATGAGTCGTCCTGTATCTTGATTATGGTGATTCTGCATATAACAACCGCCAATAGTTTTCTGTCTGAATCCCAGATGGAATTCCTACAATGATGGATAGCCACCTGACAGGTACATAAGAGTGATGGTACCAAATGGTTAATTGGGGTGACCTAATTACTTCATGACTCATTCTGATTGTGTCTTTTCGGATTCATCTTTAGGACTATTCTTCCTATAGAATCTGGTGAAATGTTGCATAATGTCATAAACTGACATTTTCAGCCCCAGGTGTATGGGTCGTGTATTTGTAAGTGAGTTTATGTGTTCAACATTAGCTTCTTCAATTGGTGAGGAAACGATTGATCTTCCAACAAGAGAAATAGGCAGAGGACGGTTTTCTATAGAGCAATGTCGTGTGTCTACCCCAATAACTATGCAAGCTGTTTCCTGTCGCAGAGCCATGTAGTGCTAAGTGCACATGTGCCACCGAGAAAGAAGTCTGCAGACCAACCCACCTTTAACGGCATACGAGATGTCTACTCTCACAAGTAGGTGTCAAAAGTAAGAGGAAAAAAAAAAATCAGCGAGGATCCGGTCTTCCCTCTTTCCTAGGTCATTTCAGCCACCATCGAAAATGCGAGGATGGCTCTGCAGATGGACAATGCTAGACTGGCTGCTGATGACTTCAGGGTGAAGTAAGAAACATGAAGTACTTGAACACAAGTGTCATAGGGGATAAAACAGTCCAATTGCTGAGGGGAAAAGAAAAACTTTTGGGAGATCACGACCTAAATTCGAAAACAAATCAGGGGTGAACCTGGATGGTTTTCTTTTACTGTTTTACTATTTGTTTGGTTTGGAGGGGAGTCTGGTGTGTTTGTTTTGTTTTTAGACAGAGACTGGTGTAGCCCAGAATGGGGTCAAACTCACTGTGGAACGGAAGTCTTCATCTTCCTGCCTCTAGCTCCAGACTGCTACGTTACAAGAGTCCACCCCCATGCATGGCTCACAGGAGCAAACTCTGGAGACCACTGTTGGAAGAGAAGGGAGGGAAGAGAAGGGAAAGCAAGAGAGAGTGAGAGAGAGGAAGGAAGTGGAAGTTGGAAACTACTAGAAAAATATTGTACATGACTAGAATAATCATTTTATTTGTGAGATTTTAAAAACCATCAAAGAAACCTCAGCCAATTTTATTTATCAAAATACTCGGGGGTGAGCCAAGCGATGGTGGTGCATGCCTTTAATTCCAGCACTCGGGAGGCAGAGGCAGGTGGATTTCTGTGAGTTTGAGGACAGCCTGGGCTACAAAGTAAGTTCCAGGACATCCAGAGCTGTAATACAGAGAACCCCTTCTTGGGAAAAAGAAATCGCTGGGGGGAGGGGAAGCTGGGCATGTGTAGTTCAACAGTTAGGGAGTTTCCCTGAAAAGGCCAAGGGCCTGAGCTCCACACAGAAGGAAAAATGAAAAACTGTTTCCAGGGATGTGAAAGAGAGGTACTCTAGGGCTGGGGAGATGGCTCGGCCGTTAAGAGCCCTGGCTGCTCCTCTAGAGGATTGTGTTCAACTCCCAACACCCACACGGCAGCTCACACCTGTCTGTAACCAGGTTCCAAGGCTTCTGACACCCTCACAGACATACATGCAGATAAAACACCAGTGCGCATAAGATAAACTTTGAGATGAGTCCCCTCGCCTGCCTTCCTGCCACCCCATACAGGTATGAGCATGAACTGTGCCTCCGGGAGTGTATAGAGGCTGATATCAACGGCCTGAGGAAGGTGCTGGATGACCTTACCATGACTCGCTCTGACCTGGAGATGCAGATAGAGTGTTTCACCGAGGAGCTGGTCCTCCTGAGGAAGAACCATGAGGAGGTAGGAACAGGCTCTGGACGCATGAACAGCTCTGCCGTCCATATTTTCTATGGTATCTAGTCTACAAAAGTAAACCCCAGTTTTACTAAATGAACTCCCTACACACCAGAGAGCACGTTGCATCTTGAAGTTCCTCTGGGGTGTCACAGTTTCGAATGTTTACAATGACACACGCACTGGAAAGTGGCAGCTTACCACTCATCACTGTGATGCCTTCTCTCTCTCTCTCTCTCTCTCTCTCTCTCCTAGGAAATGAAATGCATGCAAGGAAACTCAGGAGGGGATGTGACAGTAGAAATGAATGCTGCCCCAGGAACCGACCTGACCAAACTACTGAATGACATGCGAGCACAGTATGAGGCGCTGGCTGAGCAGAACCGCCAGGAAGCCGAGAAACAATTCAATGAGAGGGTATGGTGTAGCGCCAAGCACCTCGAGCTGTGGCCCTGCTTAAGCCACCACCTCTGTCCCTGCAGCCTGTGACCACTGTGCTTCATTTCCATTTAGAGTGCATCCCTGCAAGCCCAAATCTCTAACGATGCAGGGGCAGCCGATTCAGCCAAGAATGAAGTAATGGAATTGAAGTGCTGCATGCAAGCCCTGGAAATTGAGCTTCAATCCCAGCTGGCCCTGGTATGCGTGTACTGACCATTGTTTGTAGTTTGTTTTAACCCTCCAACAAAGAGTTAAGCAAATGAGTTGTCCTTCTTTGCCAAGATGCCCCCCCCCCAAATCCCATAACCACAGAAGAAGGAAAACGGTGTAGTCTGGTGGACAGCATAAAGAGTCAAGCATGCTGCTCTCTGGCGCTGGGGAGATGGCTCCCTGCGAAAAGTACTTGCTGTGCAAGTGTGAGGACCAGAGTTCAGATCCCCAGTACCCATGTGAAAACTTGGGGAGGAGGGCGTGCATGGAAACAGATGGGTCCCTGACTAACCTAGCCAAATTCGTGAGCTACAGTTTCAGTGAGAGACGGTGTCTTGAAATGTCTAATGCAACAGAGGAAGATATGCGTATCAGCTTCTAGCCACACACACACACACACACACACACACACACACACACACACACACACACAAAAGATTTAATTTGAGTCATGCCAAGGAAAGCTAAAGAAGCAAAGATAAGACAATATAGATTGTACCCACCGGAAGCATACCCCGACTCATACAAAATCGGATGTTTTCCCAAACCACCCACTGACTTGTTTTCAACCTGAATGTTTATTTTAGAAATGTTCTCTGGAAGGGACCCTGGCTGACACAGAAGCTGGCTACATGACTCGGCTGTCTGGAATCCAGACACAGATCAGCAGCCTGGAGGAGCAGCTCAGCCAGATCCGCGGTGAGACACAATGCCAGAATGCGGAGTATGAATGCCTGTTGAACATCAAGACACGCCTGGAGGAGGAGATCGAGACCTACCGTCGCCTGCTCAATGGGGAGGGAGGGTGAGTGAAAGCCGCTGAGATGCATGAGGTGGGCTTCTGAAATCAAAGTCAGAGGGGGAGAGGTCAGACATGGACTTATAAAGTAGGAAGGTAACAGACGCAGCCCACTCAGAACACATCCAGGCCTGGCGGGGGGAGGGCGCGCTGGATGATTTCTCCCACTTTAGCTGCAGAGGAAAATACCATTTTTTTCTTCTTGCCTCCAGAGGATGTGATTATAGAAACTTAATATCCAGTCATGTGGCATTGAATGACTCAAGATCTGGGAGCTGTTCTGGCCAAGGAAAAGGTAGATATGTTCATAATATTGATGACAGTGTTACCATCTACAAGTGTTTTTATAATGGATTGTTGCTGAAGAGTATTTTACAATGAAAAGCAGGCTTTACATGTATCTTCTTACTGTTAGGATGGAGAAATGGCTCAGTCAGAAGAACTTGCCTTACAAGTTAAAGGACCTGAGTTCAACCCCAGAATCCCTGAAGGGGGTGGGGAGGTCAGGGAGAGGCAGCTAGGCATGGTGCCACAGACTAATGGACTTGTAATTCCAAGGCTGGGGAAGGTTTCAGACTGGTCGCCCATTTGGCAAGTGAGAGACCCTGACTCAAAGAAAAAAAAAAATCAAGGTGGACATTGCCTGGGAAACCACAGCTGAGGTTGTCCTCTGACTTCTATGTGCATGCATGTCTACCCACCTACACACACACACACACACTAAATAAATAAATGTTAAAATGTACACAGCTGACAATATCTGTGCAGAGAGAGCACAGTCAGCAAAACCTGAGCTTCTCCTGCTCTGGACCTCAGTGACCATTTTCAGACTGACCCAGTGGTCCTGTGATTTTCAGATCCCAGCAAGACAAGAGTGACGAAGACCATCATAGAGGAGGTGGTAGATGGCAAAGTTGTCTCCTCTCAAGTCAGCAACATTTCCGAAGTGATAATAAAATAAGCAGTTTCCAGATCAGCAGGGGCGTCAAAGAAGCTATTGAGTCAGTGAAGAGCGGCACCAACCTGACCATCACATGGCTCACTCCCAAGAACACCTGTCATTCAAAATTAGCTGAGCAGCCCAATTCCTGCATCCCCTTATTTTCTTTAACAAGTAGAAAGGAGAAATTGGCTCTGACTGCTCCTGTGTTTCAATAAACTTACTTCTGCAAACTAACAAAGTCATTCCTGGATATTTATTTTCCTAAGAAGTTTAATGTTTTACTCGGGGATGGAGTCATGATCTGACAGCTCATTGTTGTGTCATTAACCTTAGTTCATGATTTATTTGATGACTTCCTAGATAAGTGAAGATCAGCCATTTAGCATGTAGGTTTTAACATCACACAAGACAGGAATAACACCATAGCTGAAAGCAGACCTCAGTGTCCCGAACACGGTAACCAACTGTCTAGCTCATCAGGCAAGGATTAAATTGTTAGAATGACCAACTTATAATTCATCAATGCCTATTTCTTTATGCCAGTCACTGAACAAGTGTTTCACAGGTTTAGAAAAAGATGCACAGGCTATGCCAAGCACTTAAGCAGGCTCACAGCGGGCCGTGCCTATTCACACCTGTAATCTCAGCCCTTGGGAGGCTGAAATGGAGGAAATGCCACAAGTTCCAGGCGAACCTTGGTCACACATTGAATTCCAGACTAGCCAAGGCTACAGAGTGAGATCCTGTCTGAACAACAGTGCAAAGTTTGCATTGTCAGTGAGGAGGAAAACTAAACATGAAGATAGCAGGGACTAAAGGGTGCTCATCGTAAAAGACTTCAGCCCAATATGGTAGCACACAGCTATAAACCCCAGCACTTAGGAAGCAGAGGCAGGAAGATCAGGAACTCAAATGTCATCCTCAGCTACACAGCACGTTTGATGCTAGCCTGAGCTATATGAAACCTTGTCTCAAAAAAAAAAAAGTGTAGGGGTTGATTACACAATATTTGCCAAACACATCATAGAAATGAGACATTGTGTGTTTGGAGACAACAAGAGATGACCAAATAACGACCATAGGAAAAGATGATTGCACATGGGATGTGGGATCTGATTTGTTAACACTTGAAAAGCCCCAAAGAGAAGAAATGCTTGGAACTTGTTCCTTTGCCAATTGTATTCAGAACTCTAACCAAAATTACCAGTCAGCAGAGCTGGTATTCCTTTCCCCACTCTCCACACTGGAGGCCTTTTATCCTACAGGTAGTCAAGCCCTGTTCCTTCACTTGCAAGGTATCTCTGAAGGTTCTTCCTGTTTCAGGCCCCAGAAAGAGGCAGGCTGAAGATCTAGGCAGACTGGGCAACAGTACTTCACACAAAGAATTTCCTATTGACCACATCACAAGTTGGAGAGCTGACTCCAGAAGCCAATCTTTAATGGGGGAGAGGGGAGGATTCACAAAACATGACACAGAGAGCCAAACTTAAAATATAAAGCAATGAGTCTAGGATGGAGCCACAGCTCAGCTGGCAAAGTGACCTGAGTACAGTCCCTAGAATTCACATTTTTAAAAGCAGGTATGGTGTGTGTACTTGTAATTCTAGCACTAGGGAGGCAGAGACGGGCAGATGGGTCCTTGACCCTCCCTGACTAGCCAATCTAGACTAACCAACAATCTCCCGGCCAGTGAAGAGACCCTGAACACACACACACACACACACACACACACACACACACACACACACACGAATCTGAACTTCACAAAACCTATAACTTCTAGTATAAAACCAATAAGAATTATATAACATCAACCTTAATCATCAAAACAACTGAAAATGTAGGATTTCGTAATCTAAGCATACTGAAGAAAGCATTAAAAATGAACACCATGGCTGGAGGGATGGCCCAGATGTTAAGAGCACGTACTATTCTCGCAGAAAACCACTTGTAACTCCAACTCCAAGGGATCTGATACCTTTGCCCTCTATAGGCACCTTACCTTCATACACAGACACCCACACACATGTGCACATCATCAGAATACAATCAAAATAAGTCTTTAAAGATGAATGTCAGTGAACTCCTCCTTTGGAGCCCCTCCTACTCTTGTGAGTTTCTCTTCACTTTTCTTTGGTAAATCTGTTTTCTGTGCTTAAAAATAAAAAATACACCTGGGTACCTACAACTTGTTCAGTCATCACACGCCCTAGAACAAAGTGAGATGACTTAAGCATAAGATCATGGCGTGAAGAGAAAGTGCTGTGTTGTAAGAGGCAAAGGCATTTCTCATCACCAGTAAAGAAAATGCAGGAGAGTTCTACTCAAAGATTAAGAACGACAGAAGTGAAAGCATGACCCAAACTTGACTTTTCCAGAAGTGGATGCGTGTTCTGGGCAGCATCATCCAGCCACCCAAGTCTGCCACCGGCCAGGAGTCTTCCCAGAGCTGGCTTTCGAACTGTGGGTCCTGACCATCTGGACCTCCGTTTACGGCTGATGTGGCCCTGGCGTAGTCTCTAGCACCCTTCAACCCTTGTATCAAAGCAAACTATAGACATACTCAGAAAATTCCTTGGAACTGAGAGCCCTGCTGCCTTGACCAGTGTTAACACAATGCATGCGTATGAAAGAATTGTTCACACAAGGAAAAGTCCAGCTGTGGGCATTCAGGATGCAGAGGCATGCAGATCTCTGTGAGTTCAAGGTCAGCCTGATCTGCAGAGATAGTATCAGGGCAGCTAGGGCTATACAGAGAAACCCTGTCTCAAAAACAAAACAAAAACAAAAGAACTTAGTATTTGTACATTATTCCCTCTCCAAAAATTATGTTTGTGCTACCCAGCAGGAAAAGGTTTGTCTGGAAACTGTGGTTCAGCTCTCTAGTGGCTTTTAGAGCAGTGGAGCTTCCTCTGGGTGGACTTGCCCTGGAGGGAAGAGCCTGGGCTAGCAGCAAATGGATTACCGCCCAATGCCAATTTCTGATCCAGAGATTCACAGATCTGTTCTCATCTTTGTGATCTTAAGGGGCGACAAACAGAAAAGATGAGGCTGTTTGACTTGTCATCTGTCGTCGCAGAGATTACAGGCAAGGTGCATGGCAGCCAGCTGGAAAGAGTGCTAAACGACTCCAGGCACTAAGGGACAAGGCCAGACTTGCCTGTTGACTTCATGGAATCAGCAGGCAGTTCAAACAAGAGGAGACAAAGGGAAGAAGGACATAAATCATCTGAAATGTGGCTCAGGCAATGTTGACTAAGCCACCTCCCAGAGTAACAAAATGCCACAAGTAAGGAATCACTTTGAATTACTATCTCTAAGTCCAATGTGACATTGAATAACAGGAAAAAAAAAAAAAAGCAAAAAGTTGAAACCTTCTAAAAGGAATTTACTTATCTGTAACATCAAGCCTTGCCTGAAATGGTGGAGAAGAAAGGAAATGCTAAAAGGGCGCTTCGACAACCCTTCTAAATTGTTTAGATTTTTTTTTCTCTATTATATATATGTGTGTTGGTGTCGGTGTGCAGGTATGTGTGAAGGTGCTAAAGAAGACGGAGGTATTCAATCCCCTGGAGCGAAGGCAACCAGGCGGGTGCTGGGAATCAAACTTGTGTCCTCTTCAGGGGCAACAACAAGCATTCCCAGCTGCTGAGCCATCTCCAGGCCCAATCACCTTATTATTAAAAAAAAAAAAAAAAAAAAAAAAAGCAGTCAATAGCACCGGAGAAGGCATCCTAGAACTGCCACATGTTCCAAGCTTGGGCAGGTAGCAAACAGGGGGTACAATCTAATGTTATTTTTCCAATGTGGAGGCATAGAGAATTCATAGCAAAACTGTCACGGGATGTATATCACTCAGCTCCAGCTGGACAGTGCTAAGGTTTAAGCATACCCCCAAAGGTCATGTGTTGGAAGCTTCATCCTTTTCTCGAGGCTTGTAACTATCTGTAAATAAGTTGTTTCGAATGATTTTTTGTTGTTGTTACTTGGCCTAAGAATAAAAATGTAAAATAATAATAAAAACTAGGAGTTGGGGATGTGGCTTGGTAATTGCACAACATGTGTGCAATCCTGGGCTCCATCCTTAGCACCATATAGAACTGGGCATGATGGCCCATAGGCCAGCCTGCCTGGGATACATAACCCTCTGTTAGAAAGAAAAGAAGATAGATGATGGATGGATGGATGGATGGATGGATGGATGGATGGATGGATGGATGGATAAGAAAAGAGGAGGGAGGGAAGGAAGGAAGGAAGGAAGGAAAGATGGGAGGAGGGAGGAAGATGAGAGGAAGGAGGAAGGAAGATGGGAGGAGGGGGGTGGGATAAAGGTTGGGATTTTTGCTTTGCTTTGCCTTGTTTTAGTCTCTGTTGGTTTTTAATGCAAATGAGGGTTTTGCTGCATCTTGTCAAGATGAGGTAATTGTTTCTTTCCCCGACGGGTACTTCACACCCAGAACTTTCCATGAAGTTCTGATATCGACGCTCTTCGTTTCTCTCATAATCATGACAATATAAAAATCAAAGCATTTTAATGAGTTGAGCGGTGACTCTCACTCTCGCCTCCCATTCAGAACAGAAGTTTCTCCTGGAAGAGTATTCTAATCTAGATTATTCTGTAGGGCCAAGGTGCCTAGAGCTCGGAAACTTCTTCATTTGGCAAAGCAGCCCAATCAGTTTAAAACAAGGGCTGTCCTGGAAATGTTCCCTTGTATCAGCCAAGTCCTCTCCTTGTGAACTTCCTGCTCTTTGATCCTGGCCCTGGCTTCTGACAATGTTTAAAAACAGCCACTATGCCATCCCCATTCTAGACAAAGGTCTTGATTTCTTTGATTGTGTCTTATCTGACTCAGAGGCTTCATCATCAAGGTCACAAAATTTGGATACAATGATCATTGTCACATCATAATTTCCTTTAAAAGGGTAAGGTGGTACATGGCTATGGTCCTAGCACGTGGGAAGTACTGAAAGGAGAGTCAGTTTAACATCCTCTTTGGCTACACAAGGAGTTCAAGACCAGCTTGGGCCACATCATAAGACTTTG